TGGTAGTGATCACTAACTATTCTATATTTTTCATAACATTTGTCACTAGAGGGTGCTAGAGTTATTTAGGAAGAAAAACACCAGCTACAGAATCTTTTTCTTCTGATGTGCCTGTTTTAAAAGGCAGTGACTGACTACATTTTCCTTAATGTAAAAAACAACTTTAAAATGCTTTTTGACCCAGCCATCCCTCTGACTGGTATCTTCCCAAAAGAATTAAAAGAATCATATCACCGTGATATATGCACACCTATGTTTACAGCTGCAGTTTGTAATAGCTCAAACTTGGAAACAGCCCATTTGCTCATCAGTTCAAGACTGGATAAAGATGTGGTTTTCCTATAAAATGGAATACTACTCAGTCATAAAGAATGAGAACTTAGAGTCATTCATAGGAAAATGGACACATATTGAGGATATACTTCTAAGTGAAATAAGTAAATCACACATGTGTAAATACCAAATAGTTTTTCTTGTGTGAAAACTACAATGGTACATAAGATCCTAATGATATAATTGACAATGTGAAATAAGAAGAAAAGGACTAAAGTTGTAGAAATGGAAAGGGTAGGGGAAAGGTAATAAGGGAAAAGAAAAAAATATGAGAAAATGAAAAAATGGAAATAAAGTGTTTGTAAATAGGGAAGGGAGGAGGGGCTGAAGGGAGGGCAGGGACAAGGGGAAAAAATGAGAACCAAGGCTTGTCATGAAAAGGTACAAGATCCCAGTGAGGAACATAACTGTACTGTGTACCTAAAATGTACCAATCAACTCAATGAGAAAAAAATAAATAAATAAAATGCTTTTGTAGTGAGACATCTTTTTCAGTTTATCAGTATCTTTGCATTACAGAAAACCTGAGACACCAGCTTTTGTGCTTTTAAATACAGTAAAAAAAGACAGGAGCAGAACATTAGCTTCTCAACACCTGTTCTTACAAAAGAAGCCAGGTGCTAACCACTGGGATATGCTACTTTAGATGACATCAGTACCACAGCAATCTGACTACTTTCTTCAGGTTTTCCTTCACAACAGAAAGAATAACACATATGCAACATAAACATATTTGAAAATTGACCAAGTTATATTTGATTCAATTCAGCATAATGCTATATATATATCACAAGTTTCTTTCATGAATTACATCCTGTTCAAATCTGAAAACATAGTATCAACCAGATGAATGCTCTGATTAACAAAAGTTCCTAATTTTAAAAAATACATGCCAATCACTGTTATCATCCCACTGAAGCTTAGGAGGCAAGGGAAGCTGATAGGGAGGAGCATGAGACTCATGGCATCTTTTATGCTATGATAAATAAAGTCCTTTGTCTCTGAAATAAGAACTTCTTCATGTCTTCTGCCAGTATCTTTGAAACTGTGGCCAACCTGTTAGCTTGCTTGAAATCATATTTTTTCAAATTTCTTGACATACAAAATTACCTACTGGACCTGTTCTGATAGTCACAGAATTTTTCCTGAAGGCTCAGTCTAGAGCTTACTTCTTCTGTCCTTTTCATGATTTTACAAACACTTAATTCCTTATTTAAATTTCATTTCTGTTAGCATGGTTTCTGTCTTCTGTACTGAACCCCTAATGGTAAACACCATTAGTGTGGAGAAGTATTTATCACGTAATCATGATTTGGAAACAGTATTCTAAATGTCTATTATCACAGAATTTGATCAAGAGCATGAGTATAAAATGTGTTCCTTCTATGAAATGAAAACACAATTTATCCAAAAGTTATCAAGGAAGAATGTTTTATTAATGATTCAATATGAGTTTGATACCCACCCCATATTCTTGAATGGAAAAGACTTTTTTCTTTTTCAGACTTTAGTTTTCTAGAGAGGGAGCTGAGATGCTAAAGAAAACATTAGACAAATGAGTCTGCGCCAATTTTTCAGCCCTGGAAAACTTAAGTATTTTACAGTACCTCAGCAGTAGTGAGAAAGATTTTATCTGTGATGTTCCTTAGTCCACATGCTACAACCCCAAGAGCAACTCCAGGGAACACATAGGAATTGTTTCCTTGGCCAGGATATAGGGTCTGTCCATTTGGAAGAGTAACTGGATCAAAAGGACTGCCACTGGCAAAAACTGCACGTCCCTGCAACAAAAAACACATATCACTAACTTTAAAAGTAAGTAGGTTATTCTAAACCAAATGTATTAGAACTATCCCATAGCCAAAATAATGAGTGCTTGGAAAGACACCTAACTTTTCATTAGCTTCCCAGAAAATCTAGGCAACCCCTTGTGATGTTGGGCAACAGGTTCTAGAATGTGATTATTACTGTTCTTTATCTAATACTTTGTTCCTGGGAGAAGTGTGTAAAACACACGATACCCTAACACTGTCACTAGGTTCTCTGCTGTGGTCTAACCCATAGACCCATCAACCATTTCTATACATGTTTCCACTTAAAAACCCCTAAAGATAAAAAAAGACAGATTCGTATTAGAGTACCAGAAATCTTATTCATTTAGGCAAGGGCTTAATTGTCAGCCTCAAAATGACTTTCAATATTTTATGTCTAATAGTATAGGAACATTATGTTAAGATCATATAGAGTTGAGGGCCAGGTATTTTATATTATTTTATGATTTTATATATATATGTATATATATAGATATACATATATATCTATATATAGATATGTATGTATGTATTGCAGATGAGTCTAAACTCTCGAAGTGTATTTATTTCGACAAAATAATTAAACACTTGCTTATTTTGTGCTTCCTATGTACAAACTTTTATGCCAAAATTTTGTTACTACTCAAAAAGTTAAGTGATTTTACTCCTTTAAAGATTTAAGGGCTTCTGAAGGATGTGAGAAATCATGTCAATTTATAGATGAGATACAAATTTAAACAGTGAAATACTGATGTTATCCTAAATAAAGGCAGTAAACAACAGAGTTCTTCCCCCCAAAATTAATTCTAGTAATGAGCATTTAAGAATATAGTAGTAAAGAAGTAGAGCCATCATGTTCTAACTCAAGCAGTGACCTAACTTTGTGTTTGTTTATCCTTCTGCTTGATTTTCTGACTTTATTTGCAAAATGAAAGCGTTAGATGGGTATGTCTCAACCCCTACTTTATTGTAACATTTTTGTGTCTTTGAAAGGAACAAAAGTCTTTTGCCAACCTATCACTCAAATATGTTAGTTATAAACATTCTACTGTTTTTTAAAACAGTACAACAGTGAAGCCTTGAGGCTATCCCTCAACCTATCCCAACCTGGCTGGATATCAAGATAGCCATCCAAATGCTCCACCCATGGCATTAAAGTCCAAACCCACAATTTAGCAAAGCAAAAATTAGTCTGTGGTTTTATAGTATATGCTTCAGTGTTTGGGACTAGATAGTTAAAATCTATTTTAATAACTATCTAAAAACAAGCTTTTTATTTATTTACTTTTTTTATTTTGGTACCGGGGATCAAACTCGGGTACTTGTGCTTGCGAGCCAAATCCCCGGCCCCCAGCTTTTTATTTTTATTTAACTTTTATATTTAAATCTTAAATACTTCTAAATCACTAGAGGAAAACTATCATGGAAACTTAACACATTTTATTTTATTTTATTTAAGAAGAGAAGTGATTAATAATACTCAAGAAAGGGAATAGCTCTCATCCCTCTTATCTGTTCACTTTTCTTTCAATTTTGGTTATATAATTTTTAAAGGTTATACGGTAAGTGCCTTAGATATCCCAGGCTCCCCTATAATTAATACAAATTTGATTATTAAGATACAAATTGTACTTTACCTGAGTTATTTTATAGCACTGCTCTGCTGAACATTCTGCTTTACTGGTTGGATTACTCAGAGCAAAAATAATAGGTCGTTCGTTGAAGGCAGCCATGTCTCTGAGAATTTGCTCTGTGAATGCACCACCAATTGCAGCAACTCCTAGTAAGGACAGGAGAAACCAGTGATTAGGACTGTCACTGATTAACTCACCCAAGAAACCCATATCCCAAAACAAAGAAATATGTCAGGTCATTTTCTAGTAGAGCCTAAACATAATAAAGAACATTGTATTACAGTAGTAATTAAAAGAATTGTTTTTTGGGCCAGGATTTAGCTCAATGGTTCCACCGTCTGCCTTGCAAGAGCAAGGACCCAAGCTTGATCCCCAGTACCAAAAAAAAAAAAATTGTTCATTAATGCCAACAGGTACTTTTAAAAGTTACAGATACAACATTTATTTAACTCATAATATACTATATTGGTGGCTAATCACTTGTATTTGTATCAGAAAACTATGTCCAATATATATGCTCTCTATAAGCAATTTAATTAGTACATTTTAGTCTATCAGGCTATAAAGCAATTATGTTTCACAAACCAGTGTTAACACCTAAGACAATCATCTCATTCAACTGCAAAATTGGAATATCACTCGTTAAAATTATTTTAACAGAATAAAACAATTAGCATAATGACTGAAAGAACACATTTTATAAAAGAATGCTAAAAGCTTAGTAAAGTTTCTGTAATGTAATAAGTAGTTTTTATTAGAGTTAGCACCATTGTTCTCAATACAGTCAACTATTCACAAGCGCTCCAAGGATTAGAGTGTGATGCAAAGTAAAGATTGACATGTACACACAAACAAAAGATATACCCCATAATTTCTTCTGAGATTGTTTTTAAAACACAAATTTGACAATATTACACATCTTACTTAAGTATATGTTAACTGCTCTAAGAAATATAAAGATGTCTGAGATATTATCCCTGTCTTCCAGAAGTCTCGAGTTCAGTTTCTCAGCCTTAGCACTATTGACATTTCAAGCTGAATAAAATCCTTGTAGCAAGGCTGTTGTGTGCATTGTAGATCATTAATAGCATCCCGGGCCTCTCCCTACAACATGTCAGTAGTCCCTTCTACCTCTCAAAATTCCTTTTCTAGTTATGAGAACTAAAAACAATTATCTCCAGACACTGCCTAATCTTCCCTAGAAACAAAAGCCCTCCCACTGGAGATGGACAGTCTCTCTGAAATAATCAAGCCTGGAAAAGTGCCAAACAGGCCAGGTCTCAGCGGGCTGACAGAGTAAGCAAAGGGGCCATACACACAAGCCAGTCAGTAATACCAAGAAGACAGAACTGATCTCAGCTATCTACAAATAGGCGTCTATGGAGTAGTGATGCTTCAGTGACTATAATTTCGTTTAAAATTCCAAGGATTACAATTTCAAAAAGCTAAAGTATGTCTAAAAAACTGGTAGTAAAAAAGTCAATGAGGTAAAAATGAGGAACGGGAAGAAGGAGAATGGTGGAGAAAATATTTACCTATGAGGGCAGTTGGTTTTATCTCTTGAACAATGGTTTCTAGGTTCCTCATTTCTTCATGTTCATGGGCAAACTTCTCTTTCTCTTGTGTTAAGGATGCACGTCCCTAAGAAAAGCAAATGAGAGGAAGTGAAAAAAATCTGCCAAACATGGGTCAAAGACATCTCAGGAGATGATGTATAATAAAAATAGACACTGAACGTTTAAATTTTAAAAATTGATTATCAAAAGAGACACTGCTATTAATCCCTCTGGAAATATTCCCTCTCCCTTATCCCATCATTCTTATCTCTTTCTGAAGCAATTCTGGGAGCACTGTTTTGGGAGTGTCTCTACAAAGTGTGATAAAAAACTCGGCGAATGTTGCTGCTGAGTGTAATCCAATAAAAATACAAGCTTGTAAAAATGCCATGTCTCTTTTCCCACCTCATGGGATCTAGCATTTTGTGATGTCTGGCTCTTCCCCAAAGTAAAACAACCACGAAAGGTAAATGCTTTGAATCAATTCAGAACATGGAGGCAGCCAGGACAATGCAACTAAAGATACAGAAAAAGACATCCAGAACTGCAGGAAAAACTGGCAAGAACATTAAGGTAAGTGTGTTTGAAGCCAAGGGGACTATTTTGAGGGATATAAATGTCTTTTTCTATAAGAATTTCTTATAATGTAGGCATTCATCGCATTTTTGATCAAACTTCATATTACCTATATCATGAGTATTATAACAAATATTATTCATAAGTATTATGGTAAATATTCTTAACATTTTCATGTATACTGCATGGTAGCTATTCTTAAAGCTCTTTTTCCAATTATGAAAATATTACTTCATTCATTCTTTCATCAAATACATAGCAGACAATGTTCTAAGCAATGGGGATACACGAATGAATAAAACAAAACTTACTTCCAGCCTCATGGCACCAAAGTGCCTGCCTGGAGCACAGTGTTTCCCAGGCTGCTTCTGTGGCTTCTACTAGCTGCAGCCTGCATAGGAAAGACCCTGGGAGACCGCCATGCCACACAATGGAGGCAGTGACCTTTGAGGATGTGGCTGTGAACTTTACCATAGAAGAGGGGGCTTTGCTGAATCCATTCTAAAAAAAGCTCTACAGAGATGTGATGGGGGAAACCTTTAAGAACACAGCTGCTATAGAAAGAGCCTATGATAACAAGTTGAAGAAAAATATAAAAATTCCTGGAACAATCTAAAGTAATTTGCACTCATGAGGAAAAAGGATGTTCCTCGAGAATCAGTGGGTGAGCACAAACGTGACAGTCAAGGAAATGGAGCCAAGTTGAATTTAATGTCACCAATATTTTCCAAAGGTGTATATAGCTTGATGGCTGGGGATTTAGCTCAGTGGTTCTGCCACCTGCCTCACAAGTGCAAGGACCCGAGTTCAATTCCCAGGACAAAAATAAACAAAAACAAAGCAAAGATGTGTATACACACACACACACACACACACACACACACACACACACACACACACACAGCTTGAAAATAAAGTAGAGAAATGCTATCAATACAGAGCTTGGAATCAATATGAGAAAATATTCCTCTCGACTCCAGATGTTAAAGTGGACATGAAAAAGCTGGTTTAACACCAGGTGAAAGCCCTGCTTGTAAGAGGCCTCTGACTGGGCCTTTGTCATGAAATGTGCCCATCACAGCTCACATTACATTGAAACCATATAAATACTTGGGATTTGAAAATAATCTATATAAATGTGATCACTGCAATGATTTTCAGTTCTTTCAGAAGCATGCAAGGACAAAGGCTAGAGAGAAACCCTGTGAACATGATCAATGTGGGAAATCCTACACTGATCTTAGTGAAAGAACTCACCTTAGAGAGGCCTTTGTACATGAAAGAGTTCACACTGGGGAGAAACCATGTATATGTAAACAATGTGGGAAAGCTTTCAGCAGATGCAGTGATTGTCAAATACATGAAAGAAGGCACACAGAGGAGAGACCTTATGTATGTAAGCAGTGCAGGGAAGTTTTCATCACATGTGGTACTTGTCCAAGACATGAAAGAGTTCACAATGGGGAGAAACCATATGTATGTAAGCAATGTGGGAAAGCGTTCAGTACACACAGTGCTTGTCAAATACATGAAAGAGTTCACACCCAAGAGAAATTCTATGTATGTAAGCACTATGGGAAAGCTTTCTGCACACGTGATGATTGTCAAAAACATGAAAGAATTCACACTGTGAAGAAGCCAAATATACGTAAGCAATGTAGGAGACTGTTCAGCACATATAGTGCTTGCTAAAGACATGAAAGGACTCAAACTTGGGAGAAACCCTATGTATGTAATTAGTATGGAAAACTTTCAGCTCAGTTGGTGAATGTCAAAGACATAAGAGTTCACAGTGGGGAAAAACCCTGTGTATGTAAGCAATGTGATAAATGTTTCAGGGAAAGCAGTTGCTGGCAAACACATGAAAGAGCTCACACTGGGGAGAAGCAATATGTATGTAAGCTTGGAGGTAAAGCTTTGAACACACACGGTGTTCATCAAAGACATGAAATAGCTCACACTGGGGAGAAATTCTATGTATGTAAGCAATGTGGAAAAGCTTTTGTCACACGTGATGAGTGTCAAAAACATGAAAGACTTCACACTGGAGAGAAACCCCATGTATATAAGCAACGTGGGAAAACTTTCAGCACAAACACTGATTGTCAAACACCTGAAAGAGTTCATACTGGAAACAAATCCTATGTATGTAAGCAATGTGGGAAAGCTTTCACCACATGTGGTGTCAAAGACATCAAAGAGTTCACACTGGGGAGAAACCCTATGAATGTGAGCATTGTGGGAAAACTTTCAGCACACACGGCAGTTGTCAAAGTCATGAAAGAATACATACTGGGGAGAAACCCTACCTCTGTCAGCAATGTGGAAAAGTTTTCTGCACCCATAGTGCTTGTCAAAGACATAAAGAGTTCACAATGGGGAGAAGCCCTATGTAGGTAAGCAATGTGGGAAAGCTTTTGCCACACATTCTGAGTATCAAAAGCATGACTGGGGGGAAGCTTTCAGAATAAACAGTCACTGTCAAACATGAAAATGTTCACACTAGGGAAAAGCCCTATGTGTAAGCAACATGCAAAAGCTTCCATCACACATGGATATTATCAAATACAGGAAAGAGTTCACACTGAGAAAAACCCTATGTAAGTAATGTGGGAAAGCTTTCATCACACGTGATTGTCAAAGTCATGAAAAATGTCTCTCTGGGTATTAATCATACATATGTAAGCAATGTGAAAAATTGCAGCACACCTGATTGTCAAATATATGAAAAACTCACTGAGGATAAACCATAAATATATAAGTAATATGGGATAGATGTCAGTCCACACACATTATTAAACATACGAAAGAAGTTTCACCGGGGAGAACATATATATGTGTGTGAGTCTATTTTTCAAATTCTGTGAAAAATTCCTACGTAGTGGAGACCCATAGCAGTAATTAAAACAGAAATGCCAAATTACTTCCCAAATTTGCCAGAAAATACAAATCCCAGATAGAGATATCCTAAAGTACCTACATTGTGTAATTTTCAGTAAATCGCTTGTAGATATTTAATTATGTATCTGTAGGGTTTAATATAAAAATATTGTCAATTTAATTTTGTATTTTTGAGTGACTTTGTCCTTAATCCATGGTGTTTTTTATTGTACATGGTGAATTCAAATGTACTATTTACTCTGAAGTACAATCGGTGTCTATGTAGTTACATTTTCTCTTTAAAATTATGATGTATAGGCTACTATACTTAAAATTTTAAATTATTTTTATTAGTTTTTGGGATTTTGGTACATTTATTTTAAATTTTTGGCACATATAATCCATATTCTGTGTAACAAAAGACATTTGACACTATATTTTATATTAAAATACATATTTTCTGAGATTTGTATGTGTTTTTGACAAAGTTGAGTTGTCACACAACTTGTAGGTTAGCAAATATTGTTTTTCATTTTATGACAAGATACCTGCTTATATTCCAACATCATATATCATGTACATAATGTTGCATGTTTTTCTTATTGGAGCCAATATTATCATTTACATAATTTTTTTGTTTTTCTTCCCATCAGTATTTTACTTTTCATATTTATATTGCAATGACTTTTTTTTTTTCTGGTACCAAGGATCGAACTTCGGACCTTGTAGTTGCAAGGCAGGCACGGTGCCACTGAGCTGAATCCCCGGTGGTATATTACAATGACTTTTAACTTGGTGTTAACTTTTCCACTATATGTACCAAAAATAAACCATTCTGCTGTGATTTGATTGCCACAGGAAAAATAAAGTTTTTCTCTCATTTAATTATTTAATAATAAAAATCTTAATTCTACCGAAATCTGTGAGAAACACAAGAAATAGTAATTCAAAATATCAGTAAAATAATGGTATTGTTTACTATAGATTATCTAATTTGCAGTGCCTCACAAGCTAGAACTGTTGTTAGCCCCATATAGCACTTTGAATTTATGTACCCTTAATAGAACTTGATGCTATATTTATATCATAGTTCATTAGATTTTCTGAATAAAGGCTAGCCTGCATGTTTTTGTTTTTAATGTTCTAATTATGAATGTGTTATATATCTTTTAGGAAACATTTTATAATATTCTAGCTATTTTTAAGACGACTATATAATAAATTATTGCTGGACTTTATGATATACTTACTTTATTATTTACATGAATATACTGTTTTCATGTATTTCATTTGATGGCCTCAATAATTTTGAGAAGTACAACAAGTATAATTAGAGTGATTTTACATATGCAAAAACTGGGGAAAAGAGATTTTTTTAAGACTTGCAAGAGACCAAGGGATTGCATAGTCTGCTGGCCCATGGGGATGAGAGCCATGCAAAGTTGAGGTGGACCCAGTCTGTGGCTTAAAGCCCCTCAGCCAGCATCACTAAAGCTTTCCCATCTGACCCAAAGAGGAGTGAAAAATAATTAATGTTTTATGTTGCTGACACTGCATGGTTACTGATAAACAGCAATAGTCAATTGATATAAGGAGTAGCTTTCATTTTGATTATATATTCCACCATTT